TCTCAGCCCCAGCATCAAAACTTTCGTCCCCCTGCACAGCACCAACAACAGCAAGGACAAGGACCTCAAGCGGGAGCTTCTAGAAACGTGATTGCGAACATGGCGACAAGGCGTCGCCCTCGCGCAGCAGAGCCAGACGAAGAGGACGAACTTCGCGGTGAGCTCATGCAACCTGAAGAAGGGTGGAACAACCCTCTCACAGAAGATCACGACTACTGCTATGACGAAGACGAGCAAGATTGGCATCAGCCAATGACACTGCGGGAAAGCCCGCCTCACGACAACCAGCACTACGTACCTGTGGGATGGAAAGAAGACAAAGACCCATCCTTTCACAGAAACTACAAGGCGACACTGGTGACTCCGCGGCTCGCCCTACTCCTGCGCAACAACAACACTGACAACTACAACACCTGGTACTTGGACAGCTGTTGCGGACAGCACATGGTGGGGTCTGTGCGATACGTCTCTAACCTCAGCCGCGCCCCCGCCACCTACGTCACCGTCGCCAACAACGAACAGCTGCGCGCCAACGCGCAAGGGATCGTGGTCCTGCAAGCACGGGACAGTAACACACACATTTCGTTCAACGATGTGCTCTACGTCCCGGATCTCCGATTCAACCTACTATCAGCAGGGCAACTCCGAGACTGCGGGGTCATGCTCGCCACGGATCCCGATACACGCGATCTCATCCTCACCTTTGCTCCTCCGGACACCCCCCCCCCCCGAATCGCACAAATACCTGGGACGAGCTCGCTCGATCAACGGCATCTACGTTCTGGACTTCGACATACCGAGCTGTCAGGCCTCATCCGACGAGCTCGTGGATCTCGTCCCCCTCGACTTCCCCTACATGACAAAGAGTCATGGCAGCACCCAGACGGAAGGCCGTGGATTCGCCGCAGCCCTCATCCACGTGAGATCAACCTCCACGAGCTCGACATCAACGGTCTCTGCACCACCTGCCACACACCTACGGCAAGCCGCACAGCACAAGTGGAGAGAGATTATGCGGCAATACAGGAAGCAGAAAGCGCCGAGGCATAACCTACGGGCATGACCGAGATGGAACTCGCCGTGACTACTCACCGCATCTTCGGCGAAGAAAACGAACGGCTTGGTCAACGGCGACAACAACGCCCAACGCCCCGCGCAGAAACTTTCCGATGGGTCCTAGAGGCAAACACTGGAACCTTCGACGAGGAAGGACGCCCACGCCCATACACCCGCGACATCTACCGCAAGGAGATCGATAAAGGGTGGAAGGACCCTGGCGCAAAAGAAGAGCTGAGCGTCAAGGAGGAGGAAGATCAAGAAAATGCAGAAAAGAAACAAAAGCTGTATGAAGAGCGCGTCGCGGCCGGATGGGACGAGGAATCGGCACGACGAGGTGCATGGGGAGATGATGACTACATACCGGAAGAAGGTGCAACATGGGGATCCGCAACCGGCGCATCCGGCACCTGACAGTTTACGTTGACGACCTGCTGTACACGGGCACCTGCAACAAACTCCTTAACCAGTTTGAGGAGAACCTGGCGCAGCGCGTTGACATCACCAACAACCACAGCGTGAAGCAAATTCTGGGGCTGAACCGCGCCAGAAGCAATTCACCTGTCAGCCTCCAAGTACGCAGAGCAGCTGGGGGAACGCTTCAACATCTCGCCCGCACCACTCTCAACTCCCTACTGTAACCCCAGCGCCAACTACAAACCGGACAACAAACCTCTGTCACCCGCAGGACTCCAAATGTACCAGCAGAAATTGGGGTGCCTGTTATTCGCCTCTGTCACCTGCCGACCCGACCTTTCGTACATCGTTAGCCAACTGGCACAGTACTCCCGCAAGCCAGTAGCTGAGAACCAGCTGGACCTGGAGCGCGCCCTGCAGTACTTCATTTCCACACCTGACATCGGGCTCTCCTACTCCACGCTGACAACGACCTCCTTCAATCTCAACGGCTACGTGGACGCAGATCATGCCGCTGACCCTGCAAATCGACGGTCCCGAACCGGCTTCGTTTTCCGCCTGGAACCAACAGGACCAATCTCCTGGAACTCACAGAAGCAGGAGCTGGTTGCCCTGTCATCAGCTGAAGCAGAATACATCGCCGCAACAGCAGCAGTTCGCGAAGGCCTGTACCTGCAGGAGCTGTTACAGGAGGCGAAAATTCCAACTTCGCCCACCTTTCGTCTTCACTGTGACAACCAGAGCGCCATCAGGATCGCGAACAAGCCAGGTTTCGTGAACCGCACGAAGCACATCGCGCTTCGTTATTTCTTCGACAAGGACGAAATTGACCAGGGGAAAGTTGACATCGCGTACTGCCCGACTACTGAGATGGCAGCAGATTTCCTCACCAAGCGTCTGCCACGTCAGCAGTACAAGCACTGCTCTGACCTCACCGGAGTAATCAAGCGAGTCAGCTCCTCCTGCGCCCAGGAATGAAGGGGAGTGTTACGATATGAAATTACATGAGAATGCATTCCTGTATGCTGCAGGAGCGGACTCTACCGAGTACGAAGTCGAGGAGTCAGAAGAGTCGAAGCGACGCAGCAATCGTCTGACCAAGACCGATGCAGGCAGAAACATTTGAAATGAAAAGAGCGGGAACAGGTTTGAAACGGGTTCCCGCGCCGCACGGTTTGAATTCGCTGCAATAAGGGAATGTAACAGGCCATCAGATTCGTTTTTGGCCTGTCTGATTCGTCAGACTAGTACACAGTTTTAGTCTGAAACTCTCAGAGTTGGTATAAAAAAAAGGCTGAAATTTCAGAGTGTCTAAGAAAAAAAGTCTGAACATTCGAAATCAGTGTATTCAATGTTCATCAGAAATGTATTCAATGTTTCATTCATCTGATACCGAAACATGCTAGACTAAGGGGATTTCCGCAAGATCATGCTCTGACAGGGCGATTTTTTGTGTCAGGGCGAATCTTGTGGTGTGAAAGGGCGAATCTGTAATGTCAGGTGGAATTGCTTTGGTGATTGGGCGAAATTGTTGTACTCTGACGGCGCAAATATGTGGTGTCAGGGCGATTTTGCTGTGATTGGGCGAAAAAATTGTGCCGTAAGGCGCGAATTTGTTGTGTCAAGGCGATTTTGCGTTGACAATGCGAATCTGCTGTGACCCGTGAAGTCCGAATCACCAGTCAATAACGCTTTTGTACTCTGAATGATCAGAGTACACTCCCGGAAAACTCTGAAATTTCAGAGTTAGCCTTAACATTTCTCTGAAAATTACAGAGTTGGGGCAAAAAAATCTCTGATTTTAACAGAGCTCACATAAAAAAAAAAAAAAAAAAAAAAAATGAATTCTCAGAGTTTTTCATGCAAATCAGAGAAAAAAGTCTGACTTCTGAGGGCCTGGAATGTACCCCTTAATGTACTCTTATATAAACCCAATGTATGCATGCTTTTATCAACTCACTCATTTACATTCACTCTGATCTGAGATTCAAACTACCGCTGCAATACTACTCTGCGATCAACCCTGAGCGATCCTTCGCTAAGTCCCACTTAGGATTGTAACACACCTAATACTGTTTGTCAGTTTGTGCCGCCGCGAACTAACAGGAATACGGTAAGCAAGCACACCTTCGTTTACTAAGTGCCGCATTTGGAAACAGCTGACTGCTTTTGCTAGTGAAGAATACTGTAAGAGGTTGGGGGGTAAGTGAGGTTTTGGGCGCAGGTTGTACGTGATGATGTTTCAAGAACAAAGTATCTACCGGTATCCAAGTAGAGAGAGAGAAAGAGAGAGGGAGAGAGGGAGAGAGGGAGAGAGGGAGAGAGGGAGAGAGGGAGAGAGGGAGAGAGGGAGAGAGGGAGAGAGGGAGAGAGAGAGAGAGAGAGAGAGAGGGAGAGAGAGAGAGAGAGAGAGAGAGAGAACGTGAGAGAGGGAGGGGGAGAGAGAGGGAGGGGGGAGAGATGAGGGGAAGCTAAGAGGAACAGTTCAGTTGCTGCAGATAAGCGAGAAGATTCTGCAGCAGGGGAGGTTTTGAACAGCAAGACTAAGAAACGAAAGGGAGCTTAGAGAATACTAAGGAAGTTGGAGAGCAGAGAGAACAATGGATGATGGGGAGCGGAGGGGGGGAGAGGAGGGGGGGGCGGAGGGCCGAGTGGACCCGATGGAGTAGAGAGGGGGATTTGGAAAGAAAACGGGATGTTCGGGATGTTGGAAAGTCGAGGCAGAGTTGGGGAAAAGGAAGCGAGTTAAGAGAGAAGAGGGGGAAGTGGCACGAAGATGAAGAGCTGAAAATAAGAGGGGATATCATAGAATAGACGGAGCGAAGAGGGAGAGATAAGAGAATGAAAGGAGATGAAAAAACGAGAGGGAGTTGGAGAGAAAAGATGTGATCAGAGAGGGGCCTGGAGACAGAGAAATGAGGAGTTGGGGGAGAGTTGATGGAGCTGAGGAGAGGAGTGCGAAAAAAGAGGAGTTGGAGTAAGCGGAAGGTGTGGGAAAGGAAGGGGGGGATGTATGAAAAAGGGAGAGACAAATAAGGAAAGTAAGCTGGGCATAAGGGGGAGGTGGATTGAAGAGGGGATGGAGTCAGTGGCGGGATGGAGAGGGGGCAGAGAGAAAGGCGTCGCACAGAGATTAAAGGACCCGAGCCAGGATGCAGAGATATGGGGATAAAGGAAGGGGAGGTACAATAAAGGGATGGAGAGAGTGAGGGGTGTCAACAAAGGTCGGAGGTAACGAGAACTGCTGGCACTTAGGGTTACCTCCCTACACGTAACGTTTCGGTGCGGAAGCAGAGTGAAGCTTCAATGCATCTACATCAAAGGGCTCAAGTACTAAGAGATTCTGAAATCTACTGACCAAACGCAGGCCAGTATGCTGAACAATACAGAACAAAATCCTCTACAAACCGTTCCAAAGCTTCCCTTGGTCACGACTGCTAGCCTAGGTTACATCGTCATCAGCAGAAGCAGACTCATCTGAACTGAGCGACGTAGTTCTGTCGTTATGTCTACTGATAGATTCGCGTCTAGTCGTCGTCTTCGTCATCTGTAACGAAAGTAAATGCGCTCATCAGCTATGGCTAAAAGGAGCCAGATGCAATGTGTAACCCAAAGAGGTAATTTTGTGTACTCACCAGATCTGCCATCGTCCACTTCTCCTGATCCAAACTGCCTGATAATAACTTTGGCAATAAGTATCCACCAGTACACGTGAAGTACTAGCAGGAGAACGAGAATGAAGTTAAAGAAGTAGTAAGTCTTCGGGCCTAATTCCAAGTGGTCATTCTTGTCCAGTAGCTGAACCACCTGGTAGCTGTCAGACAGGAGAGAAATGCTTAGCCCGAGGATGCACGCACGGGGGTGAGATATGGTGGTAGATAGTTCCTTACCTTGAACTGTAGATGATGTACCGAGGATACCACCAGAGCCTCAACCATGCCCAAGATACCGCAAATATAAGAAAGTTGATGGTCGCGCTTGTTTCGAATTCGATGTACTTGCTCAGCTTGGCAAGCTCGAGGAAGATGTCGCTGGCATCATGGATCGCAACCATCAAGGAACAGACACGGCCGAACCTGACAATCACAGTACATGAAGGACAGTGAGCTAAACTGCAAGGTGTCCTTGACACTCTCGGAAAAGTCGATTTGTGGCCCAGTTGTAAAATAAAATATCACAGGATCAACGGTTCCAAGTGTTGATACCTGAATATGTAGGCGGTAATGACAAGGACTACGCAAGTCACGTGATGAGTCATGCTCACGCCAAAGTCCTTCCGTCTTGTTTCCCAGAATATGAGCGCAAAAACGCTGTACGTGTAGAACCCTCCGACGTAATGGAACAACGTTTTTAACTTCAGCCTGCACAGTCAGGCAAAGATTAGCAACGGAAGAGGAAATCTGGAAGTCACAAAACTGATATGCACATCCAGACTTACTTCATCATTTGGTCGGGCCACTTCTGATCCCCAGGGCCCACCCAGTAGTACTTGATATCTTCCATCCAAGGCTCGCCCAGGGTTATAAGCACAGAAAATATCTCGGCGGATATGTAGTACATGCACTTCCAGCATGATTCTTTGAACTTAATGTGGGTCTTTAGCAATGCCTGTTTCTCCGACTTTTCAAGGGCTGTGGCTGTTCCATTGCCCTTACTCCAGTCCCCTCGGCTAAGAATGTACCGTCGGCCCACTTTCTGCATCGGCGAAAGATAAGTTAGTAACGCAAATGCTTAGTGATAAGTTAGAAACGAATGCCTTATGCTGACAGTACCTCAAAGACGAATCTGTCCAGAATGAAACGGAGTGTCGGGAAGATGCAAGCGAAAACTACAATCGACAGAAGCTCGTACGCTCTGGGTTCACTTTCCACATCCCAGTTATCCCTCACGTAGGCGAGCACGCCTGACATCGTTAAGCGATCTAATCGGGCACTACTAGAGAGAAAAGCAGCCGATCGACCCGCACAATCCGCCCGAGAAACTCCGTAGTAAAATCAAGAGGTCACCGACTATGTGATCGGAAGTGATTGTGTGATGGAGACAAGCAGCAGCCTGGCAAAAAAAATACACCAGATCTGGAAGCACACACTTAAAGCCCGCGTCCCAAATTGCGGGCCGCGAGGGTCAAGTTTTTAAAACTTGACGAAGTTGAGTGTCCAAGCTTTTGAAAGTCACGCACTTGCAATTTGGGACTTTCGAAGACAGATTCACTCACCAGGGGGAAAACCGAGGGTTGGCTGGGTCTCGCGAAAAAAACGAACCTAGACGAAATCGGAAACTCTCGCCAAAGCCCACACCAGAAAAACTCCCTCTGGTCAACTTTTAAAAGCATGAACAATTTGGGCCGCCGGTTTTAAACCAATCATGCGGAGGCATTCCCCTATGTCAAGCGTGGGAAACGGGTCATGCGATTTGTGTTAGGAGTGAACGAGGAAAGCGACAGCGTCACTAGACTTCGCGATATCCCGGCGAGAATCAGTCAGCACCACATCAGCAGTGTAGCTTGTAAAATCAGGCGATTGTTCTGTAGAAATGTTTCATTCTGATTTTCACCTACTGGTTCCAAAATTTCTGAAATCAAGTTCCTTCCTGGAGCACATCACCATGTTATTGAACCCTACTTTTTAAGATTGATGGTACCATCTACAAGCAGGAAAAACACGACACCGTAACTGCATTCTAGTGTAGTATGCGCTGGGACCACCAACATATGGCTGAGTAAAAAAGCCACTTAGTACCGCATTCGAAGATGACTCCAAGCCACCTCTTCCAGTCTAACCAGACGTCCAATACTTTTTGGTACACACCAGCACCACCTCCTCGTCGCCGTCCTTGTCCACGGAATCTTCCTTCCCCGGGCGCTCAATGCGTGCATCCCAGCGCAGTGCCGGCGCAATGCGCTTGATGCGGCGCAGCGTGGCAAGGTCATCACGGATGAGCACCACTCCCTCAGGGCGCAGGATGCGGTCTACCTCCAGCAGCACCTGCTCCACTGGGCACGGCCTGGGTCGTCATGGTACGAGGAAAGGAGGAAGAGAGATTGTCTTAGGGTTTTCGAGGTGGCTGAAAAGGTCTTTGCAGGTTTCTTGCGGGTGAGCAGACTTCCTTTGAAGGGAAGGTTGCGGACCACTTAGAGCAGCACCTGCTCCAGGTGGCACAGCCTGGGTTTGTGAACTCGTGCCTTCGCCCAACGGTCATCAAGCTGAAAATGCGAAGGAGATGCAGGAAGCTAAACAGCAGGATGACTGAATGAGAGCGTTAAGTAGCCGGTAGCAGACTGAGGAAGCAGGGCGAGACGGGGCACACCTGCTAGTCCACTGGGAGAAGAGCTCGTTGGCATGGACGAGGTCATAGGTGCGGGGGTATGTGGAGAACGCCTCACACCTGCAGAGCCACCACCACCACACATAAATGGAACAACAACACATTAAGCAACCGCCACATAGATGAACAAGGCAAGGGCATCAGCACAGCATGTAGACTCAAAATACAAAAATCGGCACGGGGTGAATGAAAGCCGAGGGTGCTTCAAAAACTCAAGCACATACCAGTCCTGGTACGTTCCCAGCAGCCCGCGGTCATAGATAACCCCGAGCGTGTTAGCCGCGCCAAACGACACATGCGCTGGTGCCTCCGAGCCTTCAGCATCCCCGCCGACAGCGTCCCCTCTGTCCACAGGCACCGCATTCATCACCCACACAGGATCTTGCCCCAGTGCAGCCGCAAACCCCCCCATGCCCGCGCTCATGTCCATAATGTTTCTGTACTGCCCGCCCTCCTGCCCTAGGTCCGGCAGCAGGGTGCGCTTGTACCAGCGCACGCGCTGCCTCCACTTGTCAGAGTCCGCTGCAAAGTCCTCCACTGTCAGATCCTCCACCACAACCCCGCCCTCACTCTCCCCCTTCAGCCGCCGCCTCTGTACGTCCTCACTGCTTTCCTCCCCGCCTGCCTCGTCGCCGCCATCAGCACTACCCTCGCTGCTCTCCTCGCTTGTCTCCTCACTGCCTTCCTCAGCCTTGCCCTCACTGCCTTCCTCTTCCTCGCTGCTCTCCTCTTTGATCACAGCACCACCACCGCTCTCCTCCTGTGCCCGCTCTGCCCTCTCCTCATCTGCCTCCTCCTCGCTTGTCTCTTTGCTCTCCCCCTCGCCTCCCTCTTTGCTCTCCTCCTCGCTTCCGCCCTTGCTCTCCTCCTCAACCTCCGTGCTATTCTCCTCACTTCCCCCCTCTTTCTCCTCTTCACCCCCTGCCTTCTCCTCCTCACCCGCCTCCTTGCTCTCCTTATCATCTCCGCTGGCCCCCTCCTCCTCAGCAGCCCCCTCTGCAACCTCCTCCGCACTCTCCTGCGCCTCCTCCTCTGCACGTTCCTCCACATCATCCGCGGTAGAGGCAGCCGCGCTGGTAGCAAGAGCGACGCCGGGCTTGCCTGAGAGCAGCCCCAGGGCAATGCGGGGCGGCGTGGCGGTGAGACGGGCGGGCCACTTGTCCACGCTGCCACCCGCCACGCCGTTGCTGTCTGCTGCGGGCACAGGAGTCAGACACGTCGCCATGGGCGTGTACCTGGTGCGGGGACAGGGGACGAGCCACACGAGAGAGGGACGAGCGGAGAGGTGAAGTGAGATGATGAGACGAGCAACAGGTGGGAGAGGTGGGGAAAGGAAGAGCGGGGGTGGTGGAGGGGAAGGAAGAGCGTGGTATGCACCAAGCACAGGGCATGACAGAAGGACGCAGCAAGAGGAGAAGCCGCCGACAGTCAGAAGTGAGCTGCACCAACTGTTAAAGAGCCAGCCGCAAGTACCGCCCATCGCGCTCATACCCCATCACCTCCACCCCACTATCTCTCCATTCACTTCCCATCCTCCTCCTCTTCCTCCTCATCATCACCATCCCGTCACCCGGTAACCACCCCACCCACCACCCACCCCAACCCCGCCATCCGCGCCAGGCGTCCTACCACGACAGGTCCGCATCCTGGTCCGCGGGGCACATGGGCGGGCTCGCGTCCCCGCGGCTCTTCTGGCACGCGCCGTCCAGGGGCTTCTGCCATATCGCGAACATGCCCGCCTGCTTGTACTTGCGCCAGCACATCTTCGCCGCCGCGGCCTCCAGCCGGTCCTGCTCCCCCGACAGGTCCTCCTTGGTGCGGTTCCACCCGCGCGCGTAGTGCTGCCAGTCGATGGGCGGGCCCGTCAGCACCCAGAACCCGCCGGGGCGCAGCACGCGGTCGATCTCCGCCAGGAGGCGCCCGTCTGGAGGGGAAGAGCGGGAGTGGGGGTGAATCAGAGGATCGGTGCAAGCGGGTGCTGTACTCTAGCCTGCCGGGTGCGTGGCCGGACGACTCAATACGCTGAACCCTCTGCGGCTTGTTGCTCATGTACACGTCACCCCTACTCATGTACACGTTACATGTGCCAACACCCCCCATCGCGCGCACCTTCGTTCGACCACGGGATGAGGCAGCGCGAGCAGTGCGCGAGGTCGAAGGAGCGCGCGGGGTACGGCAGGCGCTTGCTGGCCAGCACGCCGATCATGGCGGGCAGGCCTCGCTCCAGCGCGAACTGCACCTGCGCCTCGTGCCCGTCGCGCGGCGCCAGCGACATGGTCAGCACGCCGCGGCTCAGCAGATACGCGCCGAAGCTCCCCACCTGCGAGGGACACGGCGCAGGGTGCGGAAAAAACGCGCATCGGGGGTCAGCAAGCAAAACGATCAGAAGTGGGTAACGCGGTTCTCGTTGACGGTTCTGCTTGCAGTCAGCCCGATCGTTCTCTTACGAACGATACGAATCGCGCGAAACCGGCGATTAGCGGTCTCTTACCCCGCAGCCGGTGTCGAGCGCCGTGCGAATGGATCCATCCGTGAGCGGAATGAGCTTGCCCAGCTCTTCCAGGTAGTGATCCGCTCCTTTGTGGAACATCGTGCCGCCGCCAGGGAACGAAAACTTCTCCGTCTGCTCGTTGTATCGAATCCAGTTCTGATCCGCCTTCGCCGTCGTCAACTGCTTGTGCGGCACGTTCACGTACCACGCCTCGTCGCGGCTCTGCGGCCAGGAGACCGGGCGCTTGTACCCGACGGGCGGCGGGATGAGGCAGTTCAGCTGCTCGGAGCTCTTCGGGCAGTGTCGCTCGCGATGCGCCAGGCTTGTTTTTATGAATTTCTTCGCGCGGTTGGGATCCTCGCATGGAGAGTAGTCCATGTAGCGCATGGCGCAGGGCTCGTATGGAGTTACGTCCTCTGCCAGTCGCCGTTGCATCTCGCGAAGTAGCCTCCGAAGAGGAGCCTTTCGATGGGGTCGATCGGCTGCATTTCCAGGTGCTGCATCTGATGTCTGAATCTGGAGCAGAAACAAGACGAGCAAGACTGATACAATAGTCCGCCTGCCCACCATTACGTGGCACGCCATTGCACCTGGCTTCATAGCTTCTGTCTCTACGATAGAAGGAACTGTGCTGGTGTCAAGTATTTGAGGATCTTCGATCACAGCGGGCTGTGTTTCAAGGTTTCAAACAAGGCCAGAAATTCTCGAGGCTAGCGACTCTCGAGGCCAAGAAAAAATGAATTTGAGAGGCAGAGCGAGCAATGCCGCGTGCGACCGCAAGGCAGAGGACAGGACACGAGAGGCGGGCCTGTGCGAAGCGAACGATTGCTTCCGTCCGTCACGGGGGACATTCCCGAATCTCGTCAAAGGCTACACCAGACAGCCCGTCGTGCGACGCGCGGGTGAGGCGATGTCTGCTCTGGTTCTGGTGGGAGGGAAACATCCTAGAAGGGCATCGCACACCAGACATGACTTGACTTTCTGATTGGCCTGCACCCTTGGCCCGATGCGGTGATTGGTGGATCCGATTGGCTTCATGGTATTGTCGTCAGATGATGTCGCGCGAAAAGTCACATCTGACACCTCAATCTGTACTCGATATGGATGATGAAGCTAGTCTTGCATATTTTTTTCCGTAACTCGAATGATAAAATGCAGGTTCCAAACTTCTATTGATATGAGTTCTGAGACCTTCAAGTAACGCCCAGAGCTATGCGAAGCCATTTTGAACGAATTGCGTTACACCGAACGAATACCCACGAAACCACAGTACACGAGCGCGTGGTCCCGCAGATCGCCGCTTACGGCCTTGATTTGTACGTGACACGGCGCCTCTTGATTTGATCAGCAAAGGTGCTCTGGCAGCGCAACAGCAAGAAACGACCCGAATCGCGATGGTAGCCGTCGTGGCAAATCGTGAGCTCCCTCCGCTGCCATCCCCTCCCTCCACCACCACAATGCCCTGCCGCTACTCCCTCCCAGACCAACAACATCGCACAGAAACACCTTGTGCTTGCGCCTCGTTACCTCATGCGTAAGACTCAGTCAAGGCCCAGCATTCCCCGACACGCCAGGGCCTTGCTTACACTCGTCCATTCCCCTTGGCACATGCAGAGTGGTCCTTCACAAGAATCAACCTTGGTAACATCCACACTGCAGTCTCCACGGCGTTATGGGCAACCCGCAAATGCGATGAGTGCATGCTTAGGAACTTCCAACACTAGGAGCAGTCTCGAGAAGCGCGCCAAGTCGGCGACGAGGTAGTGAGAATAGAAGCAGCGTTGGATCCGCCTTGTGCAGTGAGGGGTTGAGCGGCAGCCATGGTAGCAAACCTCACGGAGCCCTTGCGGCCGCTCATGCTGCAAGGCTCCATGTTCAAAGGGCTGCGAGGACGCGTCAAGGAGAAGTTCGAGTTCCGCTTTAGGTTCCACGCCACTCGTGTGAGTTCATGCCGACATGGTTCTCGTCAGCTCTCTCACTTTCGCGACGCAGCCTTCACTGGATTAGGTTAAAAACCGTATGTCAAAGTCTTCACGTACTTGCGCTGCAACTGGCAACGATGCCTTTCACTAATGCAGCAGGCATTCCTAGCCTCCGCTCCCCCCTGCCTGTGCTGACCGCCCGTTCTTCCCTCTGTACTCCCTATGTCGTGCATTCCGCCGCGCATCCCGCCTTGCATCCCGCCGTGCATCCACCAGATCCCCCTGTCAGGCTACGACCAGCTGTGCGTGTCGGTGATCTCGTGCGACTCGGGGCGCACGGAGGCGCAGACGACCAAGTCGGCGGTGCGCAACGGCATATGCCAGTGGCCCGAGACGGTCACGCACGTCGTCAAGATCGCGCGCAACCCCAAGACCAAGGCGTACGAGCCCAAGGCGTACCGCTTCGTCGTCTCCACCGTGAGTGATCCCTACTCTACCCTTGCCATATCCTCAGGCCGTACCCGCCGTTCCCGCCGTACCCGCCGCCCCTTCCGCATGTGCCTGTTATTCTGCGCCCTACCTGGTTCTTTACGGTTCAGCATCGTTATTATTTTCTGCCACGACAAACTGGTTGAGATCTCTCCTAGCTTTCAACGACCATGGGCTTATCGCGTTGTATGGTCTCCCCGTGTTCCTTGCTGCGTGTTCGCACCTCATCTGCTGTATGCGTGTGTGTGTGTGTGTGTTTGCGCGTGTGCGTTGGAGCGCGGCAGGGCGGCACGTGGGGCACGGTGTTGGGCGAGGCGACGTTGAATCTCGTGGACTTCATCAAGTACCGCCAGCTCGACCAGCGCGCGCTGCCACTCGCCGCCGGCTCCGTCCTCCACGTACGTGCTCGCACACCACCTACCCACTCGCTGCTCCGTAACCTATCTTCCCCCTCACCCCCCCAACGCCTCTCCCCAACTGGTTCCCCTCTCCCACATCCACTTCGCTCCATTCCCCTTCGTCGCTCCCGTTCGCCTGCGTCGGCGAGCGTAGATCCCCCATATTCAATATCCGCCTGCGTTCCGCCGATCAACGTCACTTGGCACTAAGCTCCGCCGTCGTACCCCCGCCCATTCCCATGTGCAGGCTACGTTGCAAAGCTTCCCGCTAGACCCGCGGGAGGAGGAAGAGACGGCAGACGAGCAAACCCCGGCCGGCAGCACGCAGGCGGAAGGGGACGAGGGCGACTATTGCTATGACGATGAGTACTATGGCGAGGACACGGATCCCGCAGGTGATAACGCGCGCAAGGCGGAGCCTGCAGCGCCCGCGCCCCAAGGTGAAGGTGCGGAGAAAGAAGCGGGTGCGGAGCAGCCCAGCGCCGCGCAGCCGAGCGCTGCGCAGCCCACTGCCGCGCAACCGAGTGCCGCGCCACCGGCGGAACAGCTTGCGGAGGCGGCGGCTGGCAGAAGCAGCAGCAGCAGCGCCGATGCAGGCGCTGTTGACCCCGCGCCAGCTGCGGCAGAAGCGGAACCTTCCGACAACGCGGTTGAGGCGCAGCAGCAGGCGGCGGTGGCGGACAAGGAGGCGGTGTCGTCTTGCGGCGCGACTGAGGGGAGCTGCGCGGAGAGTGCGGAGGGCGCCAGCGTTGTCAGCGCCAGCAGCAGCAGCGCGCCCAGCGAGGGAGGCGCCAGCAGCAGTAGCGGCAGCAGCAGCGCCAGTAGCGGCGCTGGCGGGAGCACTGGCCTGAGTGCCGGCAGCAGCAACAGCAGCAACAGCGGCAGTGGCAGCGGCAGCGGGAGCACGGCGGGCAAGGCAGCGAGCTTCATCTACCGCCTTGCGGTAATTTCCCCCCTCCCTCGCCCTTGTCCTCGCCCATCTTCCTTGTCCCTTCTCCTCGTTGCTCACTGCCAGCAATATCTCGCCGCGTTCCGTTGAATGCTCCCTTCGCTGGTTCTAGGCTTTTCTTGCCTCTCCTGCTTTACTTCCTCCTCGCCTCACTACCTCACTCCCTCACCCTCTCTTCATCTCTCCCCCTCTCCCTCTCTCCCTCTCTTCCTCTCGTCGCCGCGCTCCCTCGCAACGCAGCTCCCCGATCATCGCCCCAAGGCGCGTGGCAAGCCCACCGACACCACCGATACTTCCGCCACGGCGCCTGCTCCAAGCGCTCCCGCCCCTGCCAGCAGCAGCAGCAGCGGCGGTGGCAGCGGCGGCGGCGTCGTCGCCACGGCCTCTGCTGCCGGCGCAGCCGCCGCGAAGCTCTTCCGCCGCTCCGCGTCCCTCATGGAGGGGGTTGGCGCGGGGAAGGGCGCGTCCTCTCCCGCCGCCACGGGCGCCGCAGGCGCTACCGCGGGAGGTGAGAGCAGCGCAAAGGCGCCCGAAATCGCCGGCGACCCCGCTAAGGGAGACGCGGGGGACGCCCCAATTCCTGCTGCCGTTGCCGGCGCTGCTGGCGCGGCGGGGATCGCTAGCCCTGCCATGAGCGCGTCCCCCGCTCTTGCGCCCATGAAATCCCCCCCTTCCGCCCGCACCCGCTCCGGCTTCTTCTCCTTCGACCGATCCCCCGCCACCTCCGCAGCCGCCAGGGGCTCCCCTGCCGCGGGCTCTCTCCCTCCGCCCATCGCGCTCCCCGCTGCCGCTTCCCCCGCGCCCGCGAGCACCAAGGGCGCGGAGCCTTCCGCGGGGAAGGCGGAGAGCACACTGGGGGAGGACGAGGAGCTTCCGCCGCTAGTGTCGTTCTCGGGTGAGCTCCGCCGGCCGCCGAACCCCGCGTTGGTGGGGGACCCATATCACCGCAGCGTGGCGAGCGGTCCCATGGAGGTGGGCGGAGGCGGAAGGTTCATTCCGGGCGCGGGGTACCCCGCGCACCCTGCCGCAGGCGGACTTCACGACAGCATCAGCGCGGGGAACCTCGGGGGGGCGCACAAGGACCGATCGCCCGGGCTCAAACCCGCGGGAATGCGCGGAGTCGGGCTGAAGCTCTTTCCCCCGTCCTCCCCGAACCTGCCTCCGCTTCCCGCTAGCGCCATGTCCCCCACTTCCTGCCTGCTCTCCGCCTCCGCCGCGCCAGAGCCTTCCGCAGGGCTCCCAACAACCCTGAGCGTCGCAGGAGTAGGTGGTACGGGGGGGCGCTTCGGCGCGTTCCGGACCCCGCTCCGCAGTCTCAGCGGCGGAGTGGGGAACGACGGCGCGAACCCGCTGCGCCACTCCATGTCGGACGTTCTCATCGAGGCCACCCGCGCGGGCGTGGGCGGACCTGGCGGAAAAGGCGCAACCGCGGCGGGGGTGGGCGGGCAGCACGATGGCGGAATCAGCGTCAGCGCATCCACCTCCGCTCTCTTCCTCCCCGGAACCGGCATTCGACCCGGCTTTGCCGCTGCGCTCGGCGGCGGGCCTTCCGCGGCCTTGGCTGCGCCGGCTGCGCTGGCGGCGCGGGAGCGCGGAAGGAGCAGCAGCGGCGGCGGGGCCGGAGAGCTG